AATTACAGGCGATTGTTGCTATTTATTAATTTAGGCCTACTGTTGCTACGCCTTCTGTTTTTTGTTTTTGTTTTTTTTACAAGAAGCTGGAAGTTTCAGTATTGACAATTATTTTTAAAGTTTTAAAAGAGGGGTGCCTGGTTGGCTCAGTTGATAGAGCATGTGACTCTTGATCATGAGTTTGAGCCCCACGTTGGCATAAAGATTACTTAAAAACAACAACAACATACTATGCAAACCAAACAAAACCACCTCTGCATGAGAGTTGGCTCACCGGTGACCTTGCTTAGACTGTGAGCTTCATGAGGACAGAGCTATGGCCTTTTCTTCCTCTTTTTTTTTTTTTAATTTTTGTTTTGTTAAGTAAGCACTATGCCCAACATGGGACTTGAACTCACTGACTGAGCCAGCCAGGCACCCCAAGGTCTATGTCTTTTGCTCTCCATTGTATCTCTAGTGGCTACCAAAGTGCTTGGCAAATACTAGATACTGAACAAATATTGAAAGAAGGAAGGGAGGAAGAGAAGGGGGCGACCCAGAGGGCAGATAACAAAAAGTTGAGTGCTGTTATCCTCTGAATATGGTTACTACCTTCATTACAGCCCTTTGGATTCCCTTCACCTCTCTCCTGTGTTGGAGGTGTTCGATTTGGTCTGATTCTCTGTCTTTTGTCTATGACCCAGTTTTGGTTTATTTGTTTTATCTCTGGAAGTCTTTGGATCCTCCACTGTTCTAAGACAATATTATAATCTATCTTCGTATTGGTCATTCAGTGGATCCTTTTAATCTATCCTTCTGTTCTATAAAGCTTTCTTTGATTTCTTTCCCCTTTTTTCCTTCCTTTTTGGAAATTTCTATTACTTGACTATTGGGCCTTTTGGATTGATCTAAAGTTCTTTTCTTTGTCCATCTCTTTATATTTTTATCTTTCTGTGTGATTTTCTTGGCATCGTTTTATTTCTAATTTTTCATTTCAGTTGTCATATTTTTAAAATCCTAGAGCTTCTTCCTGTTCTCTGAGTATTCCTTTTTGAGGGCGACCTATTTTTTAATGAATGCAATATCTTCTGGAAATTTTGAGGCTTTCTTCTCCCTGCATTTCTTTTCTTCCACCAAATGCCTTTTTTTCAGTTTGCCTGTTTTTACCTCTGTGGTTCAGATTAGGGGCTTTCCTGTAGTGTCTGGTAATTTCTGGCTGGCTGGTTGCTCACATTGAAGAGGAAGGCATGAAGGCATATTGGAAGGCCAAAGTGCATGGATAGGCCATATTAACTTGTGGGCACCACTGACCAGGAGATCAGGTGAGGACTGAAATAAGAGCATCAGGAGGTCTTTTCTCCAGGGCTATCGAGGTCAATTTCTCCGGAGAGGAATCCTCTAGTCTGCTGGCCCTGGAGGGTTTACCCCCTGGCCGCTGGTTCTGAATGCTGGTTAGGAGAAAGGAGTTGATTTGATAGTAACTTCCTCCTAATCCTCCTGTATTTGGTGCAGTGCCTCATGCTCACCTGCTGTGCCTCAAGTCTCTAAGTCCTGGCCTCCCTAAGTCCCACCCTACCTGTTTCAGTTGCTCTAGAAAGCAAATCTCTTGCTTCTTTGGAAGCAGGGGGAAAGGAGGGTTGTTGCCTGACTAAATAGGTAGGGGGGGAGAGTGAGGGTCTAATTGTTCCTTATACACACTTCTACAACTCCTTCCTGCCTTCCAAGATGGCTAATGTTTCCAATTCCTGAGGCTTTCTGGGCTTCTGCTCCAAGAACCAGCTTGTTTCCCATTGGCATAGCCTTACAAGGACATACTGGTTTTGGCTTTCTGCCGTGTGCTAAACCAGTTACCACTTCTCATCTGCTTTCTATCTTCTGTGATTATTGACAGCTCTCATCTCTCTTCATTTGCTTTATTCTTCTGAATTTAAAATTCCACTGACGTAATTTTAGTTGGGTTTCAGGAAGGAACAGTGGTCAACACAGGTATTTAATCTGCTGTGTTTAATTGGAATGAGCACAGAGACCATGAATGTATAGCAATAGCAATTTGAATGGTTGAGTGGCTTTTACTAGCAGAATCCAGCAGTCCTGGTGGATTTGGTAAGAGAAAGGTTGGCCAGTTGGATTGGAGTTTCCCCAGGTGGGTTTGGTGGAAGGACCAAAGGGCCAAGGAGTTGAGGATTTTGCACAAAGAGTGGTTGAAACAACAAAACATACAATCTAGGTTGCATAAGCAAAGGAAAGAAAGATATGAGGGAGTTGATGGTTAGAGGAGTTGATGGACTAGAGATCCCATGACGTCGGAAGAAACGTGAATTTCTTAACAAACCCTACTTGGTCCTACCAGCATCTTCTCAGCCTGGGACTGAAGCCCTGTTCCTAACTCCATTCATGTTTCTTTGCTTTATCATTCTATTTTGCCAGTTAACATCATTCTTCTTTAAAAAAAAAAACAAAAAACTCTGGGTGCCTGGGTGGCTCAGTGGGTTAAGCGTCTGCCTTCGGCTCAGGTCATGATCTCAGGGTCCTGGGATCGATCCCCACATTGGTCTCCTTGCTCAACAGAGAGCCTGCTTCTCCCTCTGCCTGCCGCTCCCCCTGCTTGTGCTCTCTCTCTCTCTCTCTCTCTCTGTGTGTCAAATAAATAAAATCTTTTTTAAAAATTAAAATAAATAAAAGGAAAAGAAAAACTCCTGGGTGGTTCGGTTGGTTGAGCATCAACTCTTGGTTTCGGCTCAGGTCATCATCTCATGGGTTGTGGGATTGATCCCTGAGTCAAACCCTGAGTCAGGCTCTGCACTCAGTGGGGAGTCTGCTTGAAGATTCTCTCCTTCTCCCTCTGCCCCTCCCTTGGTACTTATCTTTGCTTCTCCCCCTCAAGCCTCTCCACCCAAATGCCCCCCTGCTGCCACCTGTCAGGGGAGCTAAAGTGACACTGATAAAGGATTGGCTCTTTTATTCTCAGGGTTTGGGCCAGCTCCCCTCTTTCCCCCAAACCCAATCTACTGAGGAAAAGTTTAAGGGTTGGACTGCTAGGGTTCCTTGAACCTGTGTTTTCAACTAGTGTGGGGTCCAGTGGCTGCTGACAGTGGATTAAATCAGAGCAGCCCACTTTGAGGAAGTTTCTTCTTCATATTCCCTTGACCCTCTCGCCTGCTCATTTGGGGGGTTCCTAGGCCTTAGTGTTTTCCCCTCCTCCTGGCCATCTCTCCGAACATTTTCTCCCATGGGGAATGGAGCCCATTACAAGGCTTCAGCAGTACCCTGACTCTCAAATCCACTTTCTGTTCTAGGAGCTCATCAGAGCTTTGGGCCGACCTCCTCATTCCTCTGTCCTTTCCTACCCACACCACCCTTATTCAGATGTGGATCGCTTCTTGCCTGGTTTACGGCAACACCCTGTGAATTCTACATCCTGTGCTGTATACTGGTCTGAGCATCGGTTTCATCACATTATTCCTTGCCACCAAGTCTTTTGTCTTTCAGTGAGTTCCTATTTTCTTTTTCTTTCTTTCTTTCTTTTTTTTTAGATTTTATTTATTTGAGAGAGAGAGAGAGAGAGAGTGCGCGAGCACGAGTGGGAGGGGGAGGGGTAGAAGCACACTCCCCGCTGAGCAGGAAGCCCCACATGGGGCTCCATCCCAGGACCCGGAGATCATGACTTGAGCTGAAGGCAGACGCTTAACTGACTGAGCCACCCAGGCGCCCCAATGAGTTCCTGTTTTCTGCAGGATAAAATCTAGATCCCTGGGCCTGGCTGGGGCTCAGGGCTCCCCATAATCTGATACAACTCTGCCCACCCCGCCTTTGCTCCAGTATCATCCTTGCAGACCTCCCTCCAGCCAGCCAGGTGCCTTCATTGACCTTCCCTCAAGCCATACTTCTTCCCCATGTAGGCTCATGGCATCACCTTACCCCCAAATGTTCTCTTTCTCCCTTTTGCTCATCTCATTTCTCCTGCCTTCTTTTTTTTTTTTTTCCTCCTGCCTTCTTTCAAGATTCAGCTCCAGCCCTGCTGCAGATCTTCCCCAGCCTTCAGCTGCCGTCCTCCATCCATCTCCTCTCTTCCTCAGTAGCATGTGGAGTCAGCATCCAGCCTAGCCCAGGCTGGGACTGCTGCACGTGCATCTGTGCCCTCCCAGCAGACAGGGAGACTTTCTCAGTCCCCGGCACCCTGTCATGAACACAATTGGTGCTCACTTCAGACAACCGTTTTCTGTGTATTGAGCACTCTCAGCCTGCAAGGCCCAGGATCACACTTGTTTAACAAAGTCCTTCCTCAACATAACCCCCTTTCCTTCCTGCTCTAGGAGAGGGCTTTAGAAATCAGGCTGGTTCTTTGGGGGTGAGGGTGCAAAGAGATAAAGCATTTCACCTCCACCTATCTCAGGCTCCCTCCCCTTCTGTCTCCAGGGTCAGGGGCAGCAGCTTCCTGCCAAACATTCTCCACTAAGTCCCCTCTCCAGCCCTCTGCTTCACACTGATTCTTCCTGGCCACTCTCTCAACCCTGATGTTAATGTTTTTGCTTTTCATTGCATTTCCCCCTTCTTCGTGTCAGCTAATGATTATTCAGGGGCTTAACCAGTTGTCCCTATCCCAAATCTCTAAGTTCTCTTCAGGGCAAGGGTCACGAGAGTGAGCTCATGGTCATGTGAGTGCTGCCTGTACCTCACTCCCTGCGCTGTCGTGGTCCTAACACTCTCAAAAGCTAGTCGTGTGCCCTGCCTCCCTCTCACCTGAACAGAGACCTGGGTGGGAAGGTAAGCCTGTCGTCTTTGCCTGGGGCAGGCAGTGACCGCAAGTTTCCACCTGCTCAGCACTCACTGCCTTTTTCTTCCCCACCTGTTGCTACTGACGTTCTCCCTGGGCATTTGCTTGCCCTTGTCTGTACAGCGAAGGCTGGGACTGAGCTGCAGGACAGGGGCTGTGGGCCTGCTCTGCGGTTACGGTTCTTGCTGGTTAGGTCCAGGTGGGATACACTGGGCTGAGTAAGAAGTAACTCCTGCTTTGCTCACAGATTTTATCCTGATGGCTGACTCTAAACCACTCTTCTCCCTTGATGGGGACCCCATGGCTGCAGAAGCCTTGCTCCGGGATGTGTTTGGGATTGTTGTGGATGAGGTCATTCGGAAAGGGACCAGTGCCTCTGAGAAGGTGGGTCCTTTCCCCCTCCTCCTGCCCATCATTCCTGGCTCACAACTTTCCTCCTCCGACAAGGCTTCGGCCCAGAATTCATCACTGTCTCGCTGAATGCATCAGGGATTATATACTGGGTCATACTGTGTATATTTACCCTTGTTCATGAGTTGCTTTGGAAATATTCCTAACTCGTTTTATGTGCAAGCTGAGAGGTGGTTTGGGCAGCCAGTCAATGGGGGGTGTCCACGGGCCCCCAGAACCTCCCGCTTCTCCCGCCAGGTCTGCGAGTGGAAGGAGCCTGAGGAGCTGAAGCAGCTGCTGGACCTGGAGCTGCGCAGCCAGGGCGAGGCGTCGGAGCAGATCCTGGCGCGGTGCCGGGAGGTGATCCGCTATAGTGTGAAGACCTGTGGGTCCTGGGCTGCAGCGGGAGGAGTGTCTGGAGTTGTCCGTTTGTCTGTCCACAGCTGCACTCTGAGCTCCCTGCCCCCCCCCCCCGCCTTCTCCAGGTCACCCGCACTTCTTCAACCAGCTCTTCTCAGGGTTGGATCCCCATGCTCTGGCGGGGCGCATCGTCACTGAGAGCCTCAACACCAGCCAGTGAGTCATCCCGAGGCCCCTTCCCCCCACCTTACAAAGGCTTGGATTTGCTGGAGACATACCCCAGGGGTAGGGAGGGGAATGGTTTTCCACACCCCCCCCCATTTCCTGGCATCTCTGCTGGCAGTCTTTCTCCTTGTACCCTTTGGGCTCCCTTTCTCCCAGCTTTCTCATGCCTCCTGACCCCCAGTTCTTCCTCATTCTTGTTTCCCTGGCTCTTGGTCACCAGGTCTCTCCTCCCTCATTGTCCCCACCTCCTTTCCCTACTCCTCTGAGAGTTGGACCTGGCTAGCCTTCCTTCCTCTTTTCCCTTCTCATCCCCCTTCTCCTGGCAGGTACACTTATGAAATCGCCCCCGTGTTTGTGCTCATGGAAGAAGAGGTGTTGAAGAAACTCCGGGCCCTTGTGGGCTGGAGCTCTGGGGATGGGGTCTTCTGCCCTGGTATGTGAGAAGGAGGGGGGGCTCTCTTTGGCCTTTTTGAGGGTTCCTCTTCCCCCACGATTTTCTTGCTCTATGCTGGCAGGGAGGGGTGATTCCTCTTTGTTTCCTCTCCAGCTGGGCTGGGGCCAAACCTGAAGGAAGCTGCCCAATCCCCTGTATCCTCATGTTTGCCAAACAGTCCATGGGATCGGCACTCCAGTGCCTGCTCTGGGGAGGGGAGGCCCTGTCCTGGGTCAGCCCAGGATATGGAGGGGAGTAGTCTGAGGGATCTGCAAATCCCGGGGCTGTTCGGGGTTATCAGCAGGCCCTTGGAGAGCCCTGGGAGCCTATCACTCATGCTTCTTTGATCAGCTCTCCTGGGTGGAGAGGTCAGGGGGAGCAAGCTCCAGTTTTGACCCACTGCTCCCCCCTCTTGCCACCTTCCCTGCGACAGGTGGCTCCATCTCCAACATGTATGCTGTGAACCTGGCCCGCTATCAGCGCTACCCGGATTGCAAGCAGAGGGGCCTCCGGGCGCTGCCGCCCCTGGCACTCTTCACATCAAAGGAGGTGGGAAGAGGCATAGACCTACCCTGGGCTCCTGATGCTAATGTCCAGCCAGCTGAGTCTGCCTGCCCAGACCCATCTCCAGGGCCAGTCTGCCTCCAAGCAGAAGTGCTTCCTTCCAATCAAGGGGCCGAGTAAACGCTCCCGTTCACCTTGCCTTCTGAGTGGAGGTAGCAGAGGGACAATGAGTGCCACAGACATAGTCCACACCCTTTCTACTCAGAGTGTGGTCTGTGGACCAGTAGCAGCAGTATCACCTGGGAGCTTGTCAGAAATGCAGACTCTCAGGCCCCACCCCAGACACACTGAATATGAGTCTGCATCTGAATCAGACACCCTAGTGATTTGGAGGCACATGAACATTCGAACACTCGAGAAGCCTTGGTCTTCAGAGTCTTATCTGTTGCAGCTCACACATTTACCAGTCTCTCTCTATCCTCCCTGCCCTCTTGCCCCTAGCCTAATCTGCCCTCTGCCTTTCTCCATAGTGTCATTACTCCATCAAGAAGGGAGCTGCTTTTCTGGGACTTGGCACCAACAGTGTCCGAGTAGTCAAGACAGATGAGAGGTAAAGTCCTTCTGTTCACATGGCTCAGGCCCAGCCTAGCATAGCGTGCCCTCCTGCTGCCAGAAGCTCTGGCCTCAGGCCCATGCCCCAAGTGGGCTTTTCTCCCCTCTCTGTTCCTACACAGTTGCCCCTTCTGTCTATCAATGCCTGCTGGAGTCTCTCGCCCGGTCCCCTGATGTCCGCTTACCCCTCTTAGGAAAAGATCAACATTATGGCCTCTGTATAGCTAACCCCACATTACCCTGCTCTCAACAGTTCTGCCTCCTAGCTGAGAAAACCAATTACTTCTTTACCCAATCAGTTTTCTTTTCCAGAGGGAAAATGGTTCCTGAGGATCTGGAGAGGCAGATCAGTCTGGCCGAGGCTGAGGTGAGTGAGTGAGGGGCGCTGAGACAGTGGAGCAGAACCCCCTTGGTCTTTTCTTGGAGGCTTCCCTGGGCTCGCCCCACTCAAGGTGCCGCTCAATCCCTCTTCTTCTTTTTCTTCTTCTTTTTTTTTTTTTTTAAGATTTTATTTATTTATTTGACAGAGAGAGAGACACAGTGAGAGGGAACACAAGCAGGGGGAGTGGGAGAGGGAGAAGCAGGCTTCCCACAGAGCCGGGAGCCTGTTGTGGGGCTCCATCCCAGGACCCTGGGATCATAACCTGAGCCGAAGGCAGACGCTTAACTGACTGAGTCACCCAGGCGCCCCAGAACCTATGGTTATTTAGAATAATATATACTTATTGATATATTGATGTTACCTCTGAGTAGCAATGTGAGCAGCAACTAGAATAGTGGAATACCACTTTTATTGTACAAATAAATACCTTTTTTTTTTGTAATCGCTGTATTGAGATATCGTTCACATGCCATACAATTCACCCACTTAGAGTGTCCAATTCAGTGGTTTTTAACAGAGTTGTGTAACCATCGGTACAATAAATATTAGAACATTTTGGGGTGCCTGGGTGGCTCAGTCATTCAGCATCTGCCTTTGGCTCAGGTCATGGTCCCAGGGTCCTGGGATTGAGCCCCGCATCAGGTTCCCTGCTCTGCGGGAAGCCTGCTTCTCCCTCTCCCACTCCCCCTGCTTGTGTTCCCTCTCTCGCTGTGTCTCTCTCTGTCAAATAAATAAATAAAATCTTAAAAAAATAAAGAACATTTTCATCACCCCAAAAAAGAAACCACACACGCTTTAGCCATCAATCCCCAATTTTCCCCAAACCTCCTACTAGGCAACACTGAGCGAGTTTGTGCCTGGATGGATCTGCCTATTGTAGATTTTACGTATAAATGGACTGACACTATGCATGGTCTTTTGTGATGAACTTCTTTTACTTAGCATACTGTCTTCGAGGTTCATTCTTGTAGAGTCTCTCAGCACTTCATTCCTTTCATTGCTGGATAATATTCCATTGTATTGGATCTACCACATTTCATTTATCTGTTCATCAGTTGATGGACATTTGGGTTTCCACTTTTTAGCAATTCTGAGTAACGCTGCTCTGACCATTTGTGTACAAGTGTGTGTGAACGTATGTTTTTCATTTCTCTTGGTTATATACCTGGGGACAGAATTGCTGACTCATCTGGTAATTCCATCTTTAACTTTTGAGGAGCTGCCAGACTGTTTTTTCAAAGTGTTTGTACCAGTTTCCAGTCCTACCAGCAGTAGATGAGGGTTCCAGTTTCTCCACATTCTCACCAACACTTGTTATTTCTTTTTTTCCTAGTCTGTTTGTTTGTTTCAACTGAAGTATGATTAACATAAAGTGTGAAGTTAGTTTCAGGTGTACAACCTATTGATTTAACAGTTCTGTTTATACAGTGCTCAGTGCTCACCACGATAAGTGTACTCATTATCTGTCACCATGCATTATTACTATATTATTGACTAGACTCCCTATGCTGTGTTTTCATCCCCATGACTTGTTTGTTTTATAACTGAAAGTTTGTACCTCCTAATCCACTCTATTTCACCCATCTCCCCCAACCTCCCCTCTGCAACCACCAGTTTGTTTTTTGTGTTTGAGTCTGTTTCTTTCCTTCTCTGTGCATTTTTTTGTTTTTTAGATTCCACATATAAGTGAAATGATACGGTATTTGTCTTTCTCTGTCTGACTTATTTCACTTAGTATTATACTCTCTAGGTGCATCCATGTTGTTGCAAATGGCAAGACCTCATTCTTTTTGATGGCTGAGTAATACTCCATGGTGTGTGTGCATACGCACGTACATTTGTACACTACATCTTCTTTATTCATCTATCGATGGGCACTTAGGTGGCTTTCATATCTTGGCTATTGTAAATAATGCTGCAATAAACATAAGGGTGCATATATCTTTTCAAATTAGTGTTTTCATTTTCTTCAGGTAAATACTCAATAGTGGAATTACGGATCATACGGTAATTCTGTTTTTAAGTTTTTAAGGAACAGTGTCTGCACCAGTTTACATTCCTACCAACAGGGCACAGGGGCTCCCTTTTCTCCACATTGTTGCCGACACTTGTTTCTTGTCTTTTCGATTCTAGCCATTCTGACAGGTGTGAGGTAATATCTCATTGTGGTTTTGATTTGCATTTCCCTGATGATGAGTCATGTTGAGCATCTTTTCATGTGTTAGCCATCTATGTCTTCCTTGAAAAAATGTCCATTCAGGTCCTCTGTATTTATTTGTTTGTTTATGATTGTTTTAATTTTTATTTTTTTTAAAGATTTTATTTATTTATTTGACAGAGAGACACTCAGCAAGAGAGGAAACAGAAGCAGGGGGAGTGGGAGAGGGAGAAGCAGGCTTCCCGCCGAGCAGGGAGCCGGATGCAGGGCTTGATCCCAGGACCCCGGGATCATGACCTGAGCTGATGGTAGATGCTTAACGACTGAGCCACCCAGGCGCCCCTGTTTGTTTCTGATTTTTAAGTAATCTCTACACCCAGTGTGGGGCTTCTGCTTTTTTCCTTTCCAATCCGAATGCCCCTTATTTTATTTTCTTACCTAATTGTCCTGCTAGAACTTTAGTATAATGTTGAGTAGAAGTAGGGAGAGTGGACATCCTTGTCATGTTCCTGATCTTAGGGGGAAGGCTTTCAGTCTTTCAGCTTTGAGTACGATATTAGCTGTGGGTTTTTTGTAGTTGCTCTTTATTAGGTTGAGAATGTTCCCTTCAACTCTTAGTTTGTTGAGTATTTTCATCAAGAAGGAGTGTTGGATTTTGTCAGATGTTTTTCTCTGTCTATTGAGATGCGTTTTCTCCCCCTTTATTCTGTTGATAAGAGTGTATTACATTGGGGCGCCTGGGTGGCTCAGTTGTTAAGCATCTGCCTTCGGCTCAGGTCATGATCCTGGGGTCTTGGGATTGAGCCCTGCATCTGACTCCCTGCTCGGCGGGAAGCCTGCTTCTCCCTCTCCCACTCCCCCTGCTTGTGTTCCCTCTCTCACTGTCTCTCTTTCTGTCAAATAAATAAAAAAGTCTTTAAAAGAACGAGTGTATTACATTAATTGATCTTTGGATGCTAAACTGGGCTTGTGCTCCTGGGACAAATTATTTTGTCATAACATGATTTTTTTATATGTTGCTGATTTTGGTTTGCTAGTGTTTTGTAGATTTTTATATCTATATTCAAAGAGATATTGTCTGAGGGTTTCTTGTGATGTTTCATCTAGTTTTGGTATCAGGGTAATACTAGCCTCATAGGATGAATTCAGAAGTGTTCCTCTTCTGTTTTTTAGAATATTTGTGAAGAACTGGTATCAGTTCTTTTTTAAATGTATTATAGAATTCATCAGCAAAGCCATATGGGCCTGGGCTTTTCCTTGTGGTTGTTTTTTAAAAATAAAAATTCAAGTTCTTCATGAACTTTTGTACCATTAGAATTTTTTAAATAGCATTTTGATCTTCAAGACACTAAAAGTTTTTTGGAAGTGTGTGAGCTTTGGAAATAGACCAGCAGACAGACCTAGGATTGAATTCCATCTCCGGAGCTTCAGCTTGGGGGTGAGTTTTTTAACACCTCTGAATCTGAGTGTCCTCACCTGCGAACTAAGGGGGAACGGTAGCATGTTGTAAGGTTGAAAGGGCCCAGGCCAGGCATGTGGTAAGAGTTTAGAGATGGCTCAGCCCTAGGCTCCGGGTAGCTTTTTAGATCCCTTCACAGTCTCTTTCTCCTCCTGCGTTTTTGCCACAGGGTGCTGTGCCGTTCCTGGTTAGCGCCACCTCTGGCACTACCGTGCTGGGGGCCTTTGACCCCCTGGAGGCAATTGCTGACGTGTGCCAGCGTCACGGGCTGTGGCTCCATGTGGATGTGAGTGAGCCTTGGGCCTGAGGGTGGGGTGGGGTGGGCTGAGCCAAGGCCAAGGCCCACGTTATTCCTTTTGCTCCACAGGCTGCCTGGGGTGGGAGCGTCCTGTTGTCACAGACACATAGACATCTACTGGATGGGATCCAGAGGTGCATACGGCCACCTACTTCCTGAATCCCACCCTTCAATTCCTTGACCCAGAGAATAGTCCTGGACTAGGGCACTTCCGATGGGAAGGAGGGAAGGAGGTTGGTGGGAGGGGCGCTGGAGAGAGTAGTCTGGGGCTGGGAAGTCAGACATCAGACGCCGGAAGGCCGGGGTGAGACTCAAGCCCCTTCACTGAAGATGTGGTGAAGGAGGGGGGCTCTGGTTGAGGAGCAGCCAGCTGATCCAGCTTTGCTCTGCCCCCCCCCCCCCCCCCCCCCGCCGCCTCGGTGGCCTGGAATCCTCACAAGCTTCTGACAGCAGGCCTGCAGTGCTCAGCTCTTCTTCTCCGGGATACCTCGGTCGGTCGGCCCTGCCCTCTCCTCACTCCACCTCCCACCCTGGATCTCTGTCTTTTTCTCTGGCCCACCTTTGAGAGGGGCCTGGCCTTATTATGTCCTCCTCACCATCCCATCTGAAGCCCAGGAGCCGTGACCAGCCTTATCCGCTGTACTGCCCCCACCCCCTCCCCCACTGTGGCCTGTCTTCAAGCAAAGGAAGAGGTTTCCAGCTTGCAGTTGTAATTGAAGGGATCCTAGGCCGAATCTGGGAAGAACTCTGGGTATTGAGAGAAAACCCAGAGAAAGGGGCCTAGTGGCCCGGGAAAGAATGGGTGGGCTGAGCTAAGAAATCCCCGTGTGCAGCTCTGGAGGAGGCCTTGGGGGCGTCTGACAGTCTTCCCCACACTCCCCCCACCCCAACCAACAGAACCTGCTTAGGCGCTGCCACGGGTCCCAGGCCAGCTACCTCTTCCAGCAAGACAAGTTCTATGACGTGGCTCTGGACACGGGAGATAAGGTGGTGCAATGTGGCCGCCGCGTGGACTGTCTGAAGCTGTGGCTCATGTGGAAGGCACAGGGCGGGCAAGGGCTGGAGCGGCGCGTCGACCAGGCCTTTGCCCTTGCCTGGTAGGAGTGGGGGCGCACCAAGGTCCTCTCCCCTGGGGTTCCATCTGGTCCATCCTGCCCCCACCCACTGCCCTGCTCCTCCCATTTTTCTTGTTCTTGGGGGGGTCTCTGGGCTCATTTTCTGGGTCTCTTCTGCTTCTGTGTCTCTGCTTTTCCTCCTCCATGTGTGATTTCTCTTTCTCTCTCTGTGTTCGCAGGTACCTGGTGGAGGAATTGAAGAAGCGAGAAGGATTTGAGTTGGTCATGGAGGTATGCATCCTCCTGCCCACCCCAGGCTGTCCCACACAGCAAAGCCCTGACCGGGGAAGAGGGGCAGTAAGGGGGGATCATCCCCCTTCCACAGCTCACCCCTTCTCCTCCCTCATTCCTCCCAGCCGGAGTTTGTCAATGTGTGTTTCTGGTTCGTGCCCCCCAGCCTGCGGGGGAAGCAGGAGAGCCCGGACTACAGTGAAAGGCTGGCTAAGGTAGGCTCTGTCTTCTGGTCTCTGGTTATAGCCCAGTTTAGGGAACTGTGATGCTTCTGGTGTGTTTCTGCCCCCTGCTGGCTGTGAGTGGCATGGCAGGTCCCTTTGCTAGTCTTGCTCCTGAGGTGGGGGTGTGAACTGGAAGACAACCCCAACTGGTCCTCATTTCTCTGGGGGTGGGGATAGAAAATAAGGTATGTTTCTGGAAAATGAAAAGAAGACAGAGAGGGATGTTACAGGAGAAGTCACCAGTGTGTAGTACGTGGTCCATGGGAGTTCTGCTGGGAGCTTGGGCCCAGGACAGCCGTATGAAGCCTTATTCCCCGATGCTGGGGGCAGAGTAACTGTATAAGGCCGGTCCAGACATGCCTCCTAGAGGAAAGGAGATACGTCACGTCCCTAAGGATAGATTGGTGCTAGGTGCTGCAGATGATCTGAAAGGACAAGAATGTTCTTGCCCTTCAGGGGTTATTTAGAAAACTAGAGTTGCCTCTCTGAAACCAATATGTTCAAGGCAATCTTGTAAATTATGTGTTAGATTACAGGGTACAGATCACAGATATTCCAGGAATTCAGAGAGGGAAGAAGAAGGTGTTAAGGATGACAAAGGCTAGATGTTAGAGCAGAGCAGTGCTGGGAGCCAGGGAACAGTGAGGATTTGGCAGAAAATGGCCCGTGTGACAACTTGGAGATAGGTAAGACGGGAAATAATGCAGAAGCTGGAGAAGGAGGCGCCTGGGTGGCGCAGTCGTTAGGCGTCTGCCTTCGGCTCAGGTCGTGATCCCAGGGTCCTGGGATTGAGCCCCGCGTCGGGCTCCCTGCTCAGCGGGAAGCCTGCTTCTCCCTCTCCCACTCCCCCTGCTTGTGTTCCCTCTCTCGCTGTGTCTCTCTCTGTCGAATAAATAAATAAAATCTTAAAAAAAAAAAAAAAAAGAAGAAGAAGAAGCTGGAGAAGGCCTAGCAGGCGGAATGTAGTGGGGAAGGTGACCTGGGGCCAGGGTCAGGAGCTGAGCAATGAGTGCTCCCTCAGAAAGGTACCTGAGCGAGAGGGAAGTGTGCCTAGGGGAGCGTGCACTGAGGCTGCAGCCGGAAGTTCTCTCCAACCCTTCCACAGGTGGCCCCAGTACTCAAGGAGCGCATGGTGAAGGAGGGCTCCATGATGATAGGCTACCAGCCCCATGGGACCCGGGGCAACTTTTTCCGCATGGTTGTGGCCAACCCAGCGCTGACCCAGGCTGATATGGACTTCCTTCTCAACGAGCTGGAAAGGCTTGGCCAGGACCTCTGAGCCTCCTCTTCCTCCTCCTTGCTGCTGGCCCTGACACCCCCCACCCCCACTGTCTCTGTGCATTCCCTTCCTGTGTTTTCAAGAACAGAGTGACCTTAACAACCTTTCTATGCCTTCATCCACTAACTCTCTAATTAATTATTTGCTATTAGGAGAATATTTAAATAAACTACAGTATATCCAGATGATGGAATGGTACTCTGCCATTATAATTATGTTTACAAACAAGATTTTTATTGATATGAGAAAAGATGATTTTAATATAATGCTATATTGAAAAAGCTGGATACAAGGCTTTGTATATAGTAATATCTGAGTGGTGTTCATGCATAGGAGAAGACTGATAAAATGAAATATGCCAAATAATAATTTTCCCTGGGATGGGATTATAGGCAATTTAAAATTAATTTTTATACCTTTTGTGCTCTTCCCTTTTATTACATAATTAATATGCATTACTTTTATAATGGGGAAATAATAAAGTTAAACCTTCAACTATATTATTTCCGAATGTTTTGAAGTTTGTTACCTTTTATCAAATAATAGAGAATGTGAAATTTTTTTTTAAAGGGGCGCCTGGGTGGTTCAGTTAAGTGTCTGCCCACAGTGAGAGAGGGAACACAAGCAGGGGGAGTGGGAAAGGGAGAAGCAGACTCCCGGCTGAGCAGGGAGCCCGATGTGGGGCTCGATCCCAGGACCCTGGGATCATGACCTGAGCCGAAGGCAGACGCTTAACGACTGAGCCACCCAGGTGCCCCACTAAGCCTTATTCTTAAAGAGTTCTATATATCTGCAAAATGTCTTAAACTTAGTGAAAAAGACAAATTTAAAAAAATCCTTATTTTCAACTCAAAACAAAGCTAGAAAGCAAAAATAAAACCAAAATCTTCAGGATACCTGGGTGGCTCAGTTGGTTAAATGACTGCCTTCAACTCAGGTCATGATCCTGGAATCTTAGGATTGAGTCCCGCATCGGGCTCCCTGCTCAGTGGGGAGCCTGCTTCTCCCTCTCCTACTCCCCCCGCTTGTGCTCTCTCTCTCTCTGATAAATAAATAAATAAATAAATAAATAGATAAATAAAATCTTTTAAAAAAATCTTCAAAATTCTTAAATCATCTCCATTTGAGAAATATTTTTAAGAGGTCAGAAAGACAAGACCTAGTATCAGTTAATCACCAGGTTTTCTCCAGCTTTATAAGCTAATGCTTCTACTCTTCTATTTTTTTTTTTTTTTTTTAAGTAAGCTCTACACACAGCGTGGGGCTTGAACTCACAACCCTGAGATCAGGAGTCACATGCTTTACTGACTAAGCCAGCCAGGTGTTCCTACTCTCCTATTCTCAAAATTCAACCTTTCAATCTCTGGATACAATATGGCAGTCTCCCTCCTGCTTCCTCTCTTCCATCAGCATTTATGGAGCTCCTAATATGTGTAATTCCTTTCCCTGCCTTCGAAGAGTTTAAGAATTAAGCAGTCATCCCTCATCCGAGGCATATCCCTGCTCCAGGGCCTTGGCACCTGCTGTCCCCTTTTGCCTCAGAGTTCATCTATCTACATGGTTCGTTCCCTCATTGACTTTAGATTTCTGTTCAGATGTCACCTCCTTAGTGAAACTTTCCTTGAATATACTACTTAAAATTACATTTTTAAAAAAGATTTTATTTATTTATTTGACAGAGACACAGTGAGAGAGGGAACACAAGCAGGAGTGGGAGAGGGAGAAGCAGGCTTCCCGCTGAGCAGGGAGCCTGATGCGGGGCTCGATCCCAGGACCCAGGGATCATGACCTGAGCTGAAAGCAGACGCTTAACCGACTGAGCCACCCAGGTGTCCCTAAAATTACATTTTCACCTTTGGTTCTTGCCCTTGCTATTCTATTGTCTGCCCTGTTTTTCTTCATGGCACGTGTAAGTATCTGGCATAGTCTATATTTCAGTCTCTATCATCTATCATCTATCAGTATATTTATTTATTTTTTTTTCTGTCTCACCCAACTAGAATGTAAGTTCTGGGAGTAGAGATTTTGTATCACTGCTTCCTAAAATGGAATCTGTTACTTACTGGATGGATAATGTTGAGTGAATGGTTAATGAGCTCCAGGTAGTAGTTGACTTGCTCTCAGTCACATAACTTGAGTGGTGGAGTCAAAGCCAAATTTCGGCCGTCTTCCTCGGGCTCTTAACCACAGACGTAGCCTGCTTCTGTTGTCACACTTACATAATTCTATAGGTGTGTGAGTGTTAGGGCCGTTTTATTATCTGTATGCTCTGAATCTATTGCTTGCAGGGAGGGTGAAGCCATGCGTAGGTTCGGATACCCATCTTGCCCTTGACCTGGGGAAATCGTGTTTTCATCAAACAGGAAATGAGGATATTGGGAATACCTACCTGGGTGGGTTGCAATGTTGGAATAGGTTTTGTTTTGGTTTGGTTTTGGTTTTGGTTTTTGGTTTAGAGCGGTCAGTGTATTCAAGTGGCCAGATTCCACAGGACTGGGGAAGGAAAATGGTACCGTCACAGGCAGGCCATTGGCTGAGGAGCTAAAAGCTGGGTGGGGCACCTATGATATGGCAGCTCTTGAGGTTGATGGTAAGAGCCTTTTTAGGAAAGTAAATGAAAGGGAGCAAGCTACAGGAAGGTCAAAATTTGACTAAACACTTGGAATTTTTCTTACGTACCTTAGGTCCTCATTTGGCTAGTTCTCTTCTGTTTATGTACCTTAAAAATACTTTCCTTATTTCAAAACAATAATAATATAATAGTTACAGAGAGCTTCCATATGCTCTTTACCTAAAATTTGTCGATTTTTCACCTTTTGACAAATTTTCTTAATCATTGTTTTGTATATGTACTATAACATGTTTTTTTCTGAACCATTTGAGAGTTGGTTTCATACAATATGCCCCTTTATCTCTCATACTCTGGTGCATATTTCCTAAGAAGAAGAATTTTTTTAAATTTAAATTCAATTAGCCAACATAAGAAGAATGTTATCTTAAATATAACCATGGCACAATTATCAAATTCAGGAAGTTTAACATTGACACTATCCTTTAAAGTCCGTTATTCCAAAATTGTCAGTTGTCCCAATAGTGCCCATTATGGCATTTTCCCTCTCATACGAGATCCCAGGCCAGGATCATGTATCACATTTTGTTGTCATACTTCTGTTTCCTTAAACTAAAGTAAACTAAACTTAACTGAAATAGTTCTTCAGTCTTCTTTGTCATTAGGACATTAACATTTTTAAAGAATACAGGCCAGTCATTCTATAGAATGTTCATCTGTTTGTTTTTCCTGATGTTTCCTCTTGACTGGATTCAGGTTCTGCATTCTGAGCTGGAATATGATGTAAATCATGTGTGTTCTTTTCAGGGAAGTCAACCCCAAGGCCCATCTTATTGGTGATGTAATTTGATCAAAGTCAAAATCGATCAAGAGGTTGTCTGGTTTCCCCACAGTATAGTTACTATTTTCCCCTTTGCAACTAATAAACAATCTATAAGGAGACATTCTGAGAATACGCAAATATCCTGCTCTGCTTTACTCCCCGCCTAGACTTAGTATCCCCTCGTGATCCTTGCCCAAACCAACTTTCATCATAAAGCTTGCAAAATCGTGATTTTCTAACTCTAGCAATCCCTCCACTTTTATCATTTGGCATTCAACTACAAAGAAGAACCCTCCTTTCTCCGCATTCATTCATTCATCTATTTACTATCAGTATGGGCCTTTATTTTATCCAGTAAGTTATAATCCATTTCTTCTTTTTTTTTTTTTTAGTTATAATCCACTTCTATCTTTACTTATTTTAGTACTCAAATTGTACCAATTTGACCATAAGAAGCCCCTTTAATCTGGCTCCCGGGTCCTTTCACCCTGACTTTTTTTCCTCTTAGCACTGCCTCTGTTCCTAGCACAACAAAAATGTTCCAGGCTTATCTTATGCTTCCTCTGCTCCACTTGGAATCAGCCATGTCTTCAAGGAACCCTGATTCCTTTTTGTGGAGAATGGCATTTAGAAACTGCCATCTTGGGGAGCCTGGGTGGTTCAGTCAGTTAAGCGTCCGACTCTTGATTTTGGCTCAGGTCATGATCTCAGGGTTGTGGGATCGAGTGCTATGTGCTCAGTACAGAGTCTGCTTATCTCTCTCCCTCTGCTCCTCCCCACCCCCACACGCACACTCATTCTCTCTCTCTCAAATAAATAAATACATAAAAATCTTAAAAAAAAAAAAGAAACAATGATCTAGGCACCAGGTATGTTCATAGCTACTGGATAGATTTATGGACTTTTGAATTTTAAACTAACATCCTTTGGATCCCCCAATCCATCTTAATTGTGCTAAGGGAAACAAAGGGCCACAGCTTTAAAGGGGGGAAGTGATGTTCCCCTGGGAGATATCACAGGGGCAGTAGAGAAAATGGATTGATAACCCAGGAGGTAGGTGGGGGGTGAGGTAGTCAGTTGGGGTGCTTGATTCTTCTCTTTTTTTAAGAGAGGTGTTTAAATGTTAAATGAGGTACCTTGAAGGTTGGGCTTTGTATAAAGAAGGCAACATTCTCTCAACCCCTGGTTTAGTGTTGGCATTGTAATTTCCTAGAATAATAGGTCATGGAGTCAAAAGGCCTGCCAAGTACTCACTTGATACAACCTTGGCCTTTAGGCAGATTTTTTTTAACCTGTATTTTACAAATAAAGCAGCTGAGGCTGGGCAAAGCTAAGGTTCTTACAAAGTCACAAAAGTGTTTCTTAAGCAGAAGATGTAGTTTATTCTAAAGAAGAATACCATTTGTTTGTACAAGCCACCATCTCTTCAACTTTATCCCCCCAAACGCAACAATTCTGTGCTTTCTTTTCTAGACTGTTTTGTCACTACTTGAGATCCAGTTTCCACATGTTAGAAGAATCCAGTAGTCTGATGACCTAGTTTTGAAAAATTCCTGAAGTTCATTTTTAGCAAATTCTCTGGTGCCAACATAATTAGCTTGCACACTTCCTTAGTTTGTAGCATGGTATTTTTAGTTTTTTTTTCTTATAACCACATACATTTTAAAGTTGGATGAGAGGTTTAAGTGTTTTTAATGTCAGCTGGAGGTGTTTTGCTACTGTTCCCTTCTGCCAAGGAAGATAGACTGGAGGGTTATATATACCAGGTATTGATACTGGGATTTCTTTGGGGGAAG